GTATTTTTGGCGGCTAACTGCAAAAAAGAAAATAAAACCAAATTACTTACAAAATTTTGATTACCGATGAGAAAAAATATAACATTGAGGCTGAGGCACTACATAACTGTTGACATTTTCAAATTAGTATTAGTATTAAGGGCCATCCATAAATGACGTCCCGCAAAATTTTGCAGTTTTTTTACCCCCCCCCTTCCCCCATCACATATCGTCACAAAAAGTTAGAACCCCCTCAAATATAACGTCGCTAATCTCTGCAAACCCCCCCACCCCCATTAAAAATTCCCTGCGTCAGGGGTGGCGCTAGGAGGGTGTGTGGCCTTGGGCCAATTGAATTTTGCGGGCTATTGACGTTATATATTCCGCCGATAGGCTCAAGTATATTATAAATATACTACGGCAACGTGCGGGGCCTTGGGCGGTTGCCCACTTCGCCATCCCCTAGCGCCAGCCCTGCCTGCGTCCACTACTGTCCTTTACAAACCCTTAAGAAATTCACCTCCCGTGGATATCAAATTACTGCACCTGTGTTAGAAACATTTCACTAGAACAGTGGTTCTTAACCAGGGGTAAAAGTACCTTCCCAGCCATGGCGTGTGGAAGACCAGAAAATTGTATTCAGTGGCGTAGCTATAGGGGTGCGGACCGCTCCGGGTGACACCATCTCAGGGAGTGACACCAAATTGAAAAATTGCATATTTACAGAACACACACTGCTTGGTCTAACCCATGCAACCAGCAAAATGCATGTTTTATTAAAATTTCAAGGTTGATGCGTCAGCAATTAGGTTACCTTATTATTAATTAGAAACACGACGTTTTGACTATGTTTCAACGCCGAATAAAGAAATAAAGCTACGGTAACTAAATTATTTAAATATTTATAATTTTATTACAATATAATTTATTTGGTTGGTGGGGAGGGGGGGGATGTTAAAAACAGAGTGGGCCTGCAACACTGCAAAAAAAGGTAAGAATCCCTGTCCTAGAGCCTTTACTAAGATACCCCCCTGAACCTTTTTTTTTTTTAGTTCCATCCGAATTGCACTTGGTAGCTCTAATTCTATATTTCTTTTGTCCAGATTTAGCCATAACTTCTCCCGACTGTCACTTTAACAACATCCAATTCCCTTCCTCCTTGGCTTCCTGTATTAAAAACAGAGTGGGCCTGCAACACTGCAAAAAAAGGTAAGAATCCCTGTTCTAGAGCCTTTACTAAGATACCCCCCTGAACCTTTTTTTTTTTTAGTTCCATCCGAATTGCACTTGGTAGCTCTAATTCTATAATTCCTGTGTCCAGATTTAGCCATAAATTCTCACGACTGTCACTTTAACAACATCCAATTCCCCTCCTCCTTGGCGTCCTGTAACTTGATCAGAGGCCATTCTTTGGACCACGCATAACTGTACTGATTTTCTAAGTGATAGTAGTTCAAAAATAAAATAATTGTATAAAAGAATAATGTTAAAAATATCTGTACTATAGTGTTTATTAAGTGCAATTCTTTATTAAACTTTAATATTCCGCTTTTCATGTGACATCACATTGCTTATTGCTTGAGCTCCCCCCTCCCCCTACCCACACCCCCCAACTAAACTCTGACCCCCCTCCTCCCCCAGGTGCGTGACATCATTTATGGATGGACCCTTAGGCTAATTAGTTGTGTAGTACCCAACGCAGGGCAAGGGTGGAATTGGGACAAAAGTAAGAGTGGAGTCCCATACGTTAAAATTTACCAACTTTAATTTTATTTAATGTGAATCTTTAAGCCTATGTAACCTACTCAGTCTACGAGCCTAAGGCCCCTGGACTTCTCCCAAGCTCACTGGGGGACCTAGTGGTAATAGTAACAGTTAATAATAGTAGTTACTATTGCTAATGCTAGGCTAACTAGGTAGACGTTTTTTTATCAGCAATGTCGGCAATTACTAATAACGATTATGATTAAGGATGACAATCTATTCTTTACCGAGTTTGGGTATGAATGTATGCAGTAGGTCCTGAAAACAAAACTCTAAAATGCCTGGCAAACAGTGGGGGTTGTATTTTTATGCAGCAAGGGTTGCAATATAGAAACAGAATTAAGAATATTGTTAGAAATAAGGGAGCCTTCTGTGGAAAATGGTCAAAAAATGGAACGATAAACAAGTTCTTTAATTTTTGTATTTATCGTCACTTTGAGCTGCAAAAAAATATCATTTGCCAAATAATCTATTTCTCAACAGTATCCCTTTTACCGAGATACTAAAAAAAATATTTTTTTTTTCAATAAATGGTTTTATGTGGGCGGGTGAAAAACATACAAATTTCGGTTAAAATTAAGAGAATTGGAACCATAATGAAACATTCACTCAAAGGCTTAACATAATTCGTTTTGAATTAGAAAAGTATATGAGATTGATAACACGCCACTTACCGAAATATTGTTATTTCCAAAATAGGTGTCACTTGGCTTGTCAAAGTAGACATGCCATTTGAATTAAAATATTTTTTAAAGGTCATTATTTCTATAATTCGTTTAAATATCTTGGACGCGTCATATTGCATTATTTACGTTGGGAAGGCAGGATCTTGATAAGCCATCTTTGCCATAAGTTTAAGGCTGAAGTATATAACGAAAAACATATTTTATTATAATATTTCCCATGACGAGGCGAAGATCACGCACATGGAATATATTAGTCATAGCCTACAAGAATGAAAAAAAAAGAAATACTAAGAAAAGGTAAATCATGAAATAATTATATAACACAATGTTCTTCTTGATTTAATTATAATTATACAGCCACCTGGAGAAACAAAAGAGAGATAAAAATTAAAAGAAAATGATTACTCTTTCATGTGCCCCCACTCCTCCCTCTCTCCCCTCTCCCCCCCCCCCCTCTCTCTCTCTCTCTCACTCTAAGAACATATTTCTTAGAATAAGATAAAAATTAAACGAAAATGATTACTCTTTCATGTGCCCCCACCCCTCTCTCTCTCCCCTCGCTCCCCCCCCCCTCTCTCTCTCTCTCTCACTCTAAGAACATATTTCTTAGAATAGCCATAGCTCAGCCACCTTTTAGGCAGAGCATTAAAAAAAAAAAATCAGCTCACTATCCATGATCTTTCAAAAAGGTCCTGGTGTTGGTGAATTAGGTAAAACTGCCCAACAAGCATATCTTAGAGTCAACGAGAAATATTCTAGACCAATCTAATATCTAGAATAATCTTGATTCTAGCCCAAATGTCCTTTAAAACGATGGCATGCGGGCTAGACCTGACCCGCCAGGTGTCCTTATCCTGATGGCCGCACAGTTTAATGGTTATGTGCCCATGGTATGGTCCTGCAATTGGCAAGACACTCTGCAGTACCAACCTTTGAACGAATTTCTAGTGGGGATGGGGGGAGCAGACGGCAGTAGCAAGTAAGTACACAATCATTCGCACCCAAATGACATACACTGCCTAAACTACCAACAAGTGCTGTGTTATGAATCAATGAAGTTGGACTGTGTCATGAAAATTGTGCTTTCTTGTGTTAAATTTATTAGGCATTTCAGGATATTCTATACCACACAAAATTTAGTTAGGTATGTTAATTCATTTTTTTTCTTCAAATTTCTGCTTAAAAATTTAAGAAAGTGGCCTAGATTGTTAAAAACTTATGTGTAATTTATATTTAAACGTTATTTTTTAAAATCTTTTAACAGCTTTCCCAAGATTTTACAATTTGTTGTAGTTGGCCTACCAATGTTTTAATTGGGGTGGGGGTGCTATAAATATTGTATAATATTAGAGGGTTGTCAAAGGGAGTTTTATTAACCTTATAAGGGGTAGAGGTGCGTAAAATTATGTCATATTTTTGTTTTATATAAGTTTGCATGACCCCTTATGTTAAAAAGCATTTCAAGTTTCAAGTAAAATTAGACATCCTCACTAATAAACTAAACAAATAAATAAGGAAAACTTCTACAGTTCCCCATAATTTACAACCTGTTGGTGGAAAAACTAGCAGTAGCATTACTAAACAAGACGTATGAATTTACGTTGCAAATGTTGCAAAAAGAAGAGTTTCAAATTAGATTTAAAGAGCTTCCTTTCCATAAATATGGCATCGCCTACCTTTTTCCGAAACCCATTTTTTTTTTGTTAACATTAAAATTGTTGAACTAATTTAACAAAATGAAACTTGTCGAACTGCAGAATTATGCCTCTCTGAAATACGCACCCAACTATGGAGAAAAAAATAAGATCTCAACACAAATAAACATGGATTTAATAATTCATTAAAACATAATTTGAAACAGTCGGGAAATATTGAAACGATGTAATTATGTGATACCTCTATTTTTAAATTACTTTTTATCCATCTTAGTTTCCCGTCCATGAGGCGTGACTGATAAGAGACCACCTCTGCAAACAAATCCTGCGGGGGCACCCATGGATGTTTTCATGCCCCCCCCCCCACTCAAATGTGTGCTTAACGTGCAAAATTGTTACAAATAGTTTGTGGATCACTCCAACCAAGTATCAGTCTAATATTTATAAAGCCAATAACTAGCTTAACTAGGCTTAAAATAAATTATAATAAATAATATTAATATTAACAGCTTTTTTCAAATATTTCAGCAGCAATCAGTTCCCATTTGAGAAGGTCGAATCTTCAAAAGTTATCGCATTCCTTAAATAAAATGTGTTCTCATATTTTTTAAACTACGTAAAAGAATGAAATATTTTAAGAAGACCGAACTTTTTGGAAAATTGTCTCAGATGTTTTTATCGGACCCACTCCCTACTTCCCCAGCTGCCCCCCCAGCCCCCACTGCCCGGCAAAGTCACTAGTTTCCCCAAAACCGATTATCTGCCCTTTTCTAGTTGAAGTAATAAAGAAAACCAGGGGAAATAATTCTGCAGTATTTCCGCAAACTCGTTTCCTACGAGCCTACGAAAGAAATATAACTAAAAAAAACTTCTGAATATACACTAGTAAAATTTGGCGTAGTTTGGATATGCAATGGATTAATTTCGAGTCTGAATTCAATAATGTTTAAGATTTAAAGGTATACCGATTGAAAAGCTATAAGGCAATATTTGCGTTTTCAATTTAATTTACATTTTCACCCTGATTACCCTGAATTTATAAATTTTATTATTGGTTGACTGTGGTCGTGGTGCAGTATTGTGTAGTAGTCGTAATTTAGTTAGTTAATGTAGTGTGTAGCGAGCCTCCTTTAAAAATCCTTTTCACAGAAATCACTCACTGTATAGTATTTTTAAGCTTTTCAAAAGTTGTTAGTGGCAGAGTGTAAGCAATATTTGGTAAGAAAGAAGTGTTAGTAGCGTTGTGCATTCGGATGATTCGTAGTCGTAGGGGTTAAGAAATTATGAAATATCCATTAGCCATTAAATATGACAAGAATGATTCGGTAATAAATGCGACTAACCGGCCAATTGTAGTGGTAGTGTGTTGTCAGTTGTTAGTAAATGTTAGCTTCCCTAGACTGTAACTGTAGTGATCCCCACTGTAGGCTTAAAAAAAACAGCAGTAGTATGATTTTAAAAACATTATACATTGACATTATATTTTATAATTAAGCCTAGTCTAGCCTAGGGCTCAGAAAGTTAGTAAACTAAACTAGTCTAATATACACTAGTACTATCAGCAGTGACTATGACTAGGCTACTCACTTGGACTTGGACCTACAAAATACTATTTTAAATATTTAAATAGTAAATAGCATTTTCACAAGTCACATTGACTGTTAGTCATTACTACATCGAACATTAGGCATACTTAATATAAATTATTAATAAATGTCATGGTAGAGGGCAGTTCATAATCATAAAATATGTCACGCAGGAGGTGGCAGGGGTCTAAGAAAGACCAGAAAGTGTCTAACATATTTTAATCATGTATATAATATAATATTAAACCTGAAATTGAGAGCAATTCAATGTTAAACTTTCTGTTGTAATAGATTTATTCTGAAATAAGATTTCACTTGTATAATTTAATAGTTTAATTATAAGTGTCTTTTAGTCAATTTTAGATTAAATTTAATAAATATTTAATTTTTTTAGTTCGAAATTGTGACATACTTTGGGGTGTCTGAGATTTTTTACAGAGTGTCGAGGAGAGCAAGGTGTTAAAAATTGTAACAAAAAAATAGTGTGAAGCACTTTATGGACAGACCCTCATCAAAATCACTTTTTTTTTACTTATATCTATAACTGTAAATTTAACTCTCTTGAGACAGAGCCTTTTTGAACTGTCAATGACAAGAAGATAGAGCCCTTTTTCACAAGTCCTGCAAAAAATCTATAAAAAATAAACTTATTACTTTACAAATATAAAAATTCTTGTAGGGAATTGAATGAACTATGACGATCTTTGTGAATCAAACTAAGATATCCACATTTATGCAAATGAGATATTCTGATCTGCATTATTTATGCATGCAATTTTTGTTACACTAAGGATAAACATGTCTTATTTGCAGAATTTTGTTAACTGTTGTGATTGTGGAAGCCTAAAGAAGCCCCGAAAAACATTTGAAATTATTCTGGGGCTGCTTATGGTCATCAGCATATTTAAAGTATTTATGGGGGTCACGAGGTAAAAAATAAATTGATAGAAAGTGATGTAACACCGTAAACTATCAATGGTAGCCCCCATTAAAATTTCCAGATGAGCAAGAAATGTGAGAAGCAATCTGATTAGCTGATATGAAGACCAGGCAACCAATCTCAAAGCTTTTATTATTTATTTTTTTCTCAGTTGAAAGGATATGGACAGTGATATAAGATGAGTTTCTTCAAAGTTTTATGACAACTTGTTTTTCTGCGATGAATGCTGTCCAAGAGAGATGGAGCCACTCATATTTTAGCTGTATGCCAGGTTTCAACCAGTGAACCTCAGCAAAGACAAGCCAACAACATCAATGTCTCAAAACAATTTATGTGCTCTAGCCGTATCCTGTTATTCATCATGGAGACCTTTTTGGACTTGTCTGATTGTTATGTTTGGCATAGAGATTATTTTAACAGCCGCACAAGGATGCCACTCATCATGCACTTGCTCCTCACCGAGCGGGGAAGTAATTTGCAAGGGTGGACCAGTCCTAGACATTTTCACACAGATGAAAGTACAGGCTGTGAAATTGACACTGGATGACATCAAAGGCCTACAAATGATTGAGGCAACCCGAATGAGAGATATGAAAATGAATGGTACTTCTCTGGTCGAAATGAAAATAGTTTCTTGTTTTATCAAGGTAAGGATAGATTATCAGTGATATTGTTTTGAAAGAAAATCATACTGGTGACTGAGAAAATTTATAATTTGTCTATTAATTAGTGGACTTTTATTTTGTTATACCATTCATAATTAATATTAAAACAATTTTCAAAATAAAATTTAAGCAATATGATGGAAATTTTAATAAATTTTATAAAGAATTTTTAAAGAATAATTTAGGTTGTCTTATTTTTGCTCTTTACTAACATAAAATGTTGGAGCAAACAATTTTTAAAATGTTTTATTAAATTGTGTGGTGGTACTTTGTATTTCACATTAATAAATTGAACAACTTTTATGTTTAGGCTATTGACATAGGTTCATTTGAGAAATTCCCCAACCTAGAGCAGCTTGACCTCAGCATGAATGAGATCATGACCATCAGTCCTGGGACATTTAATGGTCTCAATGAACTCTTGTTTCTGAATCTCTCTCACAACCGATTGTCTACTATTGATGGGATATTCAGCTCTTTGCTGAATCTAAAAACACTCGATCTAAGTGTAAATAATCTGAAGGTAAGCCTTAACTGCCATTAATTTTATAATTCATTGCAAAGTAGAAGCAGATCTACTTTTAATGGGGAATTAGTTTCTATTGAAAAAAAAAAAATCATGCTAATAACAGAATATTTATTAATTTTTGTCCTAGGAACTTCCTGCAAACGCCTTCAGCAACCAAAGTGCATTGACATATTTGAAACTGGATGGGAATCCCTTGAAGAATCTTTACAGCTCTTCATTCAGAGGTTTACAAAGCATGAAAGAGCTGAGGGCCAGAGATTGTAGCTTGTTCCAGGTGGACAAGGATGTTTTTGCTTTAATGCCGCCACTAATTACGGTCGACCTTGGCCAGAACAGGCTCAGCGACGCCCCACCCGCCCTGGCACTTATTACACACAAGTATCTCAAAAACATGTTCTTGGATAACAATGAGATTCAGGCATTGCATGGGGAAAACTTTGCAGGGCTGCACCTACAGACCCTGGATTTGTCTTACAATCGCATCGGTAAAATTGATGTGGCGGCCTTCCAATGGGCCAGCCTGAGGGAGGTGGATCTCTCCTTCAACCTTATTCTCTCGGTGAGTCGTCCGATTTTAAAACCCCTTGCTAATTATCTGACACATTTTAACTTAGCAGGGAACCCCCTGCGTCACCTGGCGGATGGATTATTTTCGGATTTGCAAATGTTGGAATGGGTGAACTTATCCAAGTGCTCCCTTGAAGATTTCAAGGACAATGCATTTGAAGGATTAGCACGTCTGCGTGGTCTGGACATATCCCAAAATAGTATACACCATTTACCCCTAGGCAGTTTTAGTTTGTTTGACCAGCTAGTCTCCGTGAATCTGAACCAGAATTCCTGGGTTTGTGACTGCAAGATCCGACCCCTCAGAGACTGGCTCAACAAGGTGAGCAGCACATCCAAGCTGGTGTGCCCTCCGAGATCTCTCAAAGATGGGGACTGTGACAAACTGCACTGCATCAGTCCCACACAGTCTGAAATCTCTTTGTTACAAGACACAGAGCTAACAGAGTGCCAGAATGACAAGCCTCCAACACTCCCAGCAGGCACCCAAGGTGCAATTGTAGCCTCGTGCATGGGCTTTGCTATTGTTCTATTATTGGTCGCCGTTTTTTTGTGGCGGAGAGGGCAGACTGGACATCAGTTAAAGCGGGTGTGTGTACCATCCAAGGCGGAGAGTTCGCACATTGAGGATGAAGATTCTAAAGTTCCACCCCTTGTGAATTGTGACAGGAATTCTTTAACCCATTCGGATCACAACTTTGTCTTTCGGCATTATTTTGACCACCTCGTGACCGACCCTGGTGACCTGGATACAGCAGATGAGGACGAGCTGGGGGAGGGCGACCCACTCAAACAAAAGGACAGCTTATATTCATCCCAGCCTTCTCTATACAGTCACCACAGTGCTGCTCCTGCCTACGGCATGGAGTCCACTGTGTAAAAAAAAAATATGCTAGCATTTCAACTATGTGTGTCTTAAAGCAATAGTTTTGTGTTAGAATACATAAATTTCTCTTGTCATAGAACCCTTCCAAGTGGAGATAATTGCAACTGTCCATAGATGCCCTTACAGACTCTCATTAAACTATTTCAGGCGTTGTTTTGATTAGGTCTCAGGGTGAACATTGTGTCTATCAGCTGACTTTTTAAAAAGAAATCTCTCTGTCAAGTTTGCCTGCTTGACTTGTCAGGCATCATGGAAACAGCTTTAAATTCTGACCGTTGTTCACAACCGTAAAATAAGCACAAAATTTTTTTGAAATTTGATTTTATTGTAATGTAATATGAACAAGACATTGATTTAACATTGTTTTTTTTATATTAGACCAGGTTGAAATATTCTTATGGAACATAAGGAGCTAGCAATTGAAAACACATTGCCTGTCTTTAAAAAACAACCTAGTATTTATGTATTGTTAATTCCAGTTTTGATGTGTTACGATAATTAAGTCTTGTAAAGTTATCTATTTGCAACATGACTGCACATATCCAGATGACCTAAAAGAATTAAAATTCTGTTTTTTTTTAAAATGTAACAAAATTATTGAATGATCACAACAACCCCCCCCCCCCTCCTCTTAGGTGGTGGTACAGATTTCATGAGTTCTCTTATTTTAAAAGATGAACTAAAAGAATTAAAATTCTGTTTTTTTTTAAAATGTAACAAAATTATTGAATGATCACAACAACCCCCCCCCCCCCTCCTCTTAGGTGGTGGTACAGATTTCATGAGTTCTCTTATTTTAATGTAAACAGAAGTTAATTGTATTTGTTATTTGCACCAATGTATCTTTATTTAACCAAGAAACTTAAGAGTTCAATTTTTTGAGATGAATGTTTCTCAAATGCCTATACAGTTTTTAAAACATGGACTTTTCCTACTAATGCACATTACGATATCGGGCAAGGGAACGTAATATCTCTTTTAAAAGCCACATATTGTTTTCATTGAAAGGATTAATTTTAAATTTCCATGACTTTGGTCTGATTTGTTAACGTTTCTTCTCTTGTTCAAGTGTTCTGCTCATGAAATATATATATTATGTAACAAGGAGTGGTGATGAGAACAAAATACACCGTAGATTAGCAGGCAGTTTTTTTCATTTGTCCTCGCCTAGTCAGAATCTCTTTGTCAGAAGTATAGAACTGATAGTTTTATTTCAATTGTGGAGAAGAGTTGACATGCATTTTTTTAGATTTGTGTGGCACATTTGTAAAAACTTAGCTTGATTTGTTAAAATGCCTTATTCCGATTTTTTTAAAAATGAAAATAATCTAGATAACTTGTTTACCTTTTAGTAACTTTTACCCACATTTTTATTAATTATAAGCTTTATTAGAGCTATTTATATATTTTTAAGTTCATTCTGGATTGAATGTCAAAGTTTTTATCTCTAGTTTGCATAATAATGCTACACATGTGAAATTCAGTAGACACGTTAAAGGGGCCTTCTCATCTCTGAAAACTTGGCCGCGTCTTTGATTTATTTATTCTGAAATATAAAGATGTCATTATTTATCCGGATCGGGATAAAAAATTTGCAAGAATACAGTATCTTAAAAACAATTTTTTTTGGTTCTTGCTTTTTTAACAATCCAGATTCCTCTTTTAATATTTAACAATTGTCTTAAAACTATTCAAGCTTTCTTAATTTACACCTTTAGCTTTAAACCAGTTTGGCCATGTAATAGATTGATGTTTTTTTTCTTGTATTGTCAGAGGCAAAAAAGCTGCTCAAAATATTAGTGACATTCCAGTTTTTAAAAAATAACATTTAAAGTGTTTATTTAATTATATTTTTATACACATTTATTGCCAGTGAATGATAGATTGTTTTATGCCATATGTAACTGTCTACATAATTTTATGGACATAATCGGTTTATATTTTTTTTACTTTGGCTGCCTCAATATTTCACTTACCATGTTTAATGTCAATTTACGTTATGAAACTGGGTGTTTGTTTTTGAGCATTCCAAGAGTTTTTTATTCAGTTTGTAAAAAAATGTATTCCTTTGCTCCTCAGTGTAAAATGTACTGGATTTTTTTCTTCTTATTTTATTGTCTTTTAGACGAAGAAAATGAGATTATCACTGCTTGGAAATTGGTACCTATGGCTGTAGTTTTACCTCACAGTAGCTTGATGTAGAAATCCTCTGTAATTAGTTTTGTTTGCCAACTCGGCGAGTCTCAACTTGTGAGCACTTGCTTTTCAATTATATAATAATAGCTGTAATTAAAAAAAAATATTTTTTTTTCTCCCAATTCCGATGTTTGTTCTGTCTTCTGATGTTGAAAGCAATAATTTGAAGATTTTCTTTCTGAGAAGGCATCCTAGTGTCTGTACCTTGTACTGTTCGTTACTTTGACCTGTTTCAGTTACAATCTATTGGATGTGCATATGATTTTTGAGGGAAAAAAAAAAAATCACAGCTATGCTAAATGTTTATTAAAAATATTTATCAATAGGACTATTTATCTCACACATAGATTAAATTTGATTGTGTAAAATTTTAATGTAAAAGTTGAATATAATTCATATATCTTTAATTGCAAATAACTTTTTAGAAAGGGAGCCGTTACTCCCAGCCTGCTTTATATTGCTCGCCGTTACTCTCAGCCTGCTGTATAATGCTCAGCGTTACTTCCAGCCTGCTTTATAATGCTCAGAGTTACTCCCATCCAATAAATGGTTTACTACTTTTAGCAATTTGAAAAAAAGAATGTAGCGGAATTAGGGGCTGTATTGAATCTATAATTTATTTTAATTTTAACATAATTTATTATGATGGCACTATTGTTATACACAGTGGGCTGAGAATGACGCTCAAAGTTTTCCCTAGCTGACTGTGTATAACTATAATGTTTAGCGTTATTTGCAGCCGACTGAATAACCATTCCATTTTAGAAATCCTTAGAAGTTAATCTGTTCCCATAATTCCTTAAATTCTCCCAATTCTGACGGACCAATTTTGTTGCCTAATGCAGTCCTGTTGTTATGTTTAAAAAGACTAAAAGTATATTGTGTTAAATGTCTACTGGATTATCCACAATAAATGTGAACAGATGCATCTTATAGACATCGTTAATGTAATCCTTTGTATCTTATAGACATTGTTAATGTAATCCTTTGTATCTTATAGCCATTTTTTATTTAATCCTGTGTCTTTGTTCGTGTAATCCTATGTCCCCCCTCACTTTGCGAGTTTTGTCAGTACTATTTTATATTACCGAACCATGGAAGTCAGGCATTTCTATATTATTTAACACTTAACTTACATATCAGTATACTGTAGATACATTTTTAAACTGTCATATCTATTTATATACATATGGAGATGTTCACCTTATACAAGGCATGTCCAAGGATATTCGAAAATAATTTGTGCACTGTCTAATATATTCTTCTTTGATTGATTCTCCTCTATTACTACCATTAGATTCTCCTCTGACAGATTCTCTGGTGAAACAATCTACCTTTAATATACATTTAATATACATTTATGAGAGGTGCATGTCCTATTAATTAGTGTGTACCAGGTGGGTTGGGGAAGGGGGGGTCAAGGTTCACTTTTGATATGGGAGGGGGAGGGGTGATCTTGCTCTATATGACAAAGTTTGGAGGTGGGGAGAGTTGCTAGGGCTGCACAGAAATGATGTCATCAAATACAAATGGAGGTCATTGTTTAAAGTATTTAGTTAAATTAAGAAGCCTGATTTACATGGCATTTACTTGTTAGTGTTAGGGGCACATTCCCAAGTTTCAACAAGTTTCTGTAATTATTGGTTTTTTTTTTTTTAGTTGGTTTTAATGGGGGGATATACTAGTGATGGAATGATGTCATATGAAGAGAGGGGAGACTGAAAGAATTAAAAATGTGTGCTCCATGGCATAGAGATTTTTTAAAAACCAATGATAAAAGTGCTGAAACTTCAATGGATGAATAATTCATCTACTTGACTTGTTTTTTTAACCCACGAACTGTGGTTGGCTGAAAAAATTGGCCAATATTTTTGTTCTGCACTGTGGCGGCCGAAAGAATCGTCCGATAAAAAAACCAGTCAGATGGCAACTTCAATCCAATATTTAACCGGAATTATAGCCACTTACTTTTATTAACAATTAAATCATTTTCTGGGTCCAGCTGTTTGTTGATAACTTTACAATAGTTACTTTTTAATCAGAGTTTTATAGCGCTGCTTTTTTAAAGCTAAAATGGATGAAGCTTTGGCTGGGCCTTCAGTGTGAGATATTTCTCAGTACTTCAGTAATAGAAATATTTTTGAAAGCTTTTTAGGTGAGGATTTAATTGATACTGATGATGATTTTAACATTGCCCATGACGATCTCAGTTCGGATTCTTCTTCTAGTGAATCTCATACTAGCCCTAGTGACACTGAAGTAGGCCCTCTTTTAGACTTCGAACCAAGCCCTGAGGTTGGGCAAGGACTGACTGAATTTTAGTCACAGAACCTACAGATTATAGATCAGAACTAATAATTTTTATAGTTAGACAACCCAAATTAGTTCCATAGTTCCTTTCTAAATGTTTACTTGTCAATAAAAACTTTTTTGCCTGACATTTTGTATGTGGTACTTGGTTTTAGCTGTGGTCTCAGTTTATTATTTTTGTTCAGTAATAGATGACTTAAAATTACTAAAATTGTTTTCACAGGCTTAATTATAATAGAACCCTTAGCAAACGATACATTTTCTGAAAGATAAATGAATTGGCTACCACATTTATATTAGCATTTTAATGGAATCTATAAAAATTAATGATGTTATGAGCACTTGAAAGCAAGACATTTTGTCAATTTTTTTTCCTTGTGCGCTCCAAGGTCAAGGACACTGAACAAATTTTTTTACGGGGTGGGCAATATAGCCAACTTTATCCCCATCCATTTGCCTTTCTAAAAATATATATACTTATTGGGGTC